TGAAGGATAAATAGGAGTCTGCTGGCAGAAAAAGGGAGGGATTGTGTTCCAGATGTATACATATATTTCCTTGATCTGGAACACAATCTATATACATATGCATATACATATATATATATATACACACACATATATACATATATAATATACATGTGTGTATATATGTATACATATGTATATACGTGCATTATGTGCTTTAGGGTAGTAGTTCCTGATTTTTTTTTTATACCAAAACATGTTATAAGAGTTATATGAATTACTTAGTAACCATATAGAGTATCAATGTTAGTATCAGGATTCAGAGGAGGGGTTGATAATTCAGGATTTTTCTCCTGCTTCAGTTCATATCCTAGGACACTTATTTATCATAACTTTGTTTGAATTGTCACATAAAACATTCGTCTTTGCAAACATTCAGGAACCAAGGCAGATTCTATGTTGCCAAGCTGCTTATGATTTAATAGGGGAGCTAGGAAAGATGAGCACATGTGCTGTATGAAAAGTGAGTCATGTATGTGGGAGTTTGGGGGGAGGGGAGAGAATCAACATGGGTCAGATTTTTGGTATTCAGGGATTGGTCATTTACTCAGTGCTGTCAGTCTTATTCCCAAAGTGACTGAGGCTTCAGAAAAACTGCTCTTGGTGCCCACACCTCGGGATTCCTTGACTGACAAAGCGCCAAGTTATCGAAATTTCTAGAGAGTCATCTGCATTAATCAAAAACCTCTTGAGTGTTGTCGTTGTGAAGGGGTACAAAAAGAAGGATGACTGGTGCCTCCTTACGTGTACAGGGGTGGGCGTAACCCCTCAGAAGGTAAGAGGGCCATGCTAGGCCGAGCCAGCTCTGTTTGCGCCCGTCTCTGGAAGTACCAGTGCCAGCATGTCCCCAAAACCCACCTTTCCAGTGCTCTTCCATTAGACTCTGTCAGTATTACTTCATCATTGCCAGGCAGGCCTTATTCAACTGTCCTGTAGAAAGACAGATGGTTTTTATTTTCCTTGTAAGCTATTATGCAACTTAAATCAGTGCTAGCATTATTTACTCAGATTTTGCCTCTTATCATAACATTTAGCCTGTCTCCATTTTGTCCTTAACTCTCCTTTCTAATCAGGCATTCCTTTGAATTATCATAAATATTCTTTGATGTGTTTACATTTTAATGTTATCTATTTTAAGCCTCTTTATCTTTCCTTCATCTCCTACAGTTTTTTGGCTTTAGTCACAGTACCTCAGATTCCAAATCCTTGCTTTCCCTTCTCCTGCCACTTCCTACAGCAATGTTTACCCTGCCTACCACTTCACAGATCTCTCTTCTCTTAGTCTCCAACTCCTACCCCATCTCAACTGTGCTTTGTGGCCTCAGGAAAAATCCTGAGGTAGGCCTGTGAAGTTTTCCTTTGCCGCCTCTCCCCAGTTCTCCCACGTTTTTTCCATACCTGTCCTACCTCTGTCTTAAATTACATCAACACAGATGTGCTGCTCACCAGCTGTGGGTGAGGGAGTTGGCCAGCCTTAGACGGGATTCCAGGATGGCTTTAAGGCATATACTGTCTGATGTGGGAGGTAGATAGATCCGTAAATAACTAAAATAAGGTCTGAGATATCATAAATGAGATATTCGAGAGACAAAATTAGAGTAGCGTGAGTAGGAGAAAGGAATGAGGAGCACTGCAGAAAAGTCTCACCCTCTACTAGCTAATTATGACCCAGCAGAGTTGCACAACATTGGACCCTCCCTTGTCTTGCTGGGAGCCGTGTCCAGTCTGATCCACTTTGGCCAGGGTTATCTTTTGCTAACTGCTTCTGTTTTCCCAGGAAATCCTGAGCAGACTTAGTGGGTGTGTGTGTCCACCCCTGTTTCTGATGCCCGCCTGTCTCTTGCTGCTGTCTTCCACTTCCAGGCTCCTCATATGATCTCGGGGCCTTGTCCTCCCACTGCAGTCTTCCTGCAGTCTTGCCACTGCATGTGGCTGGACAAGTTCAGTCCTATTTCTCAGGGCTGCTGTGTGTATTCTCACTGGGGGCCTAGGGCAGAAGGACAAAGTAGGGTTGGAGGTGACCGAGGCAATAGGAAGGGGCATTGTCAGGTTGGAATTTCTCTCGGTTTCAGCAACTAAGATAGATAGATATAGATAGATATAGATATAGATATAGATATAGATGATATAGATATACACACACTTCCCAGACTGACCCAGTTCTGGTATAGTTGTTTTTGCAGAGTCACCATTCTCATCGGTTAAGATGGAAAAGAACCATAAAAAGACAATGGTAATAATAGACTGAGTTCCGACCTATTTCTCCTTGGATCCTTTCCCAAGAGATAGAGATAGGATAATGGGGAATTTGGTTATCAGGATGATGTTTGGTGTTCAAATACCTTGCCGTGGTGAGAGTAAGGGCCGTAGCCTCCCTGTACTATCTGTAAGTGTTGTTAACTCCTAGCTCTTGGAAATCTAGCCTTTGGCCAAGTCTGCACCCAAGTGTTTCCAAAACACTTGTGGAAATCTGAGCTGGAACTTGCTATTGACAAATCACAGGAAGGTGCATCTTTCTAGATTTAGTTAAAAATCTCCTATTTAGAGCAGGTCAGTTATGCTTCTACAAACTCACTTAGACCCATTTTGCTTTTTTGTGCTTTCATCAGTCAGGGTAGTAGGTCATTTCATGACTCTGAATCTCGCATATCACATATCTCTTCTGGAACCAGTAAATCCTTCCAGAGAAAGTTGTAGAAATACTGCTTTCTAAAGTGAGCTTCAGAGTGGGAGCAGTTGGTACACAGAAATGTTTATTGAATGAGTAACATTTTAGTAACCTCTAGTAAATTTAGTAACAGCTATTAATCAGTTTATGGACTGTGTAACTGGGAAGAAAGTTGTAAAACAAATTTCAGTAACATATTTACAAATAACATTAGCAGTCATTTCTTATGGAATACGCACTTGGTAACAATCTCAACCTGTACTTACATATTGGTCTATGTACCTACATATTGCTTTTCACAAGATTTCTATGTATGAAAGCCCTTAGGATGATTTAAATGAGTACTGCTGTCATCCCCATTTTACAGATGCCTGAAATAAAGGCTAAGATGCTAGTATGGTAGTGCTGAGATTAGAACTCATAGCCTAGTTTAGTACTCTTTCTTTTGCAAACTGTTCACAGACAAAAAGTTTTCATGAATCTGTAATAATAAGAGAAAAGTAAAGCAGTGGCAAGTTTTTTTTTTTAAACCATACTACTTTTTTTTTTTTTTTTAAAGATTTTATTTATTTATTTGAGAGAGAGAGAGAATGAGAGAGAGAGAGTACGAGAGGGAAGAGGGTCAGAGGGAGAAGCAGACTCCCTGCTGAGCAGGGAGCCCGATGCGGGACTCAATCCCGGGACTCCAGGATCATGACCTGAGCCGAAGGCAGTCGCTTAACCAACTGAGCCACCCAGGCGCCCTAAACCATACTACTTTTATTCAATTGAAGATGCCCTTTATTCTGAGATTCTTTCATTAAATACTAAGTGCCCAGCTATGAACCAGCTATGTACACAGGCACTTGATACAGTGTTGAACAAGGCAGATAGGGAGCTTGTTCTAACGGAGGAGGAGAAATAATAAATAAGTAAACAAGTGATCATTTTAACAGTAAGTAAGTGGGGGTAGTAATAAGAGCTTGAAGAAAATAGAGAAAGGCTGGTGGTGGTGTTATTTTTCTGTGTGATATATTCCTGAAAATGAACATCAAGTTTTAATGTACATAAAGGGAGATTCCTTCCTGAGGAATCCAAGCAATCATAAAATTTCTTCAGGGTGGTGTTTGGAGGACTCATTCATGTTAATATGTATTTTTCTTTTTTTTTCAAAATTGACCTAAAGTCCAAAATTGGCTTAAGTCCAGACAGTGTCTGGTTGAGGCTAAAGATTTGCTGCTTCAGGAACCCCTGATGATTGATTACCAGACATTTCATGATACTGAGGCTATGAGAGCCAAACTTATTGTTGGTCAGATATACCATTTTCACTCATCTTTATGTAATAACAAAGGCAAAACACTAGACAACAATACTTTCTTAAATTTTTTTTTTTAATTAGCAGCAGAACTTTCTTCAAAGAAAATTCCAGATGCACTGTCTATAAAACAGCTGTGGCTTTAAGCCACAAGCTTACTGTTCTCTTTTCCACACCTTAATGGCCTCTGAGGAATAGTTGAGAAGTCACTAAGTCTTTGCAGAACACAGGATGAAAACCACAATCAAAAATTCAAATTGTAAATCCTGTCATAAAAAGATAGCTGTAGGGGTGCCTGGGTGGCTCAGTCATTAAGCGTCTTGCCTTCGGCTCAGGTCATGATTCCAGGGTCCTGGGATCGAGTCCCGCATCGGGCTCCTTGCTCAGTGGGGAGCCTGCTTCTCCTTCTCCCTCTGCCTGTCTCTCTGCCTGCTTGTGCGTGCTGTCTCTCTCTCTGTCAAATAAATAAATAAAATCTTTTAAAAAAAATAGCTGTATTATTGAAACTGTCAGAGCCACCGTATCAAGCTTCACAATCATGTTTTGAGATTTTTTTTAAAGTCCACATTCAGTGAAAAATAGATTTATATTTATATTTTTACCTAAAATTACATTTTCAGGTAGCATTTATTATATAAAGCAAATTCAAACTTTAATTGTAGTTGTTTATTCAGAGCATACTTTTCTCCTCCAATTTTACTGAGATATAATAGACATATAGCACTGTAGAAGTTTAAGGTGTACAACAGAATGATTTGACTTATATGTATTATGAAATTATTACCACAATACAGAGCATACTTTTCATATAATGTGGGCATGGTGGTACTACTGGGACTGAAGTACTTTTCAACTACTAATTTAAAAATTAAATTTCATATTGTCCAAGATTTATTCTTTTGTAAGTTGTTTCATTATAAATAAATGATGTGTTTATATATTATTATAAAGTAATTGGTTTGCTAGTTTAATTTTTTTTTCCTGTTTGTGTTCTAGTTTGCCAGAGTTTGGATACCTGATCCTGAGGAAGTTTGGAAGTCAGCAGAGCTGCTCAAAGATTATAAACCAGGAGATAAAGTCCTCCTGCTTCGCCTTGAGGAAGGAAAGGTAAAAATGTTGCTTTTATTTGTTGTCATTGGCATAAAATGAAGTGAATTCAAAAGTGTGAGTTTGTTGTGACATACTTGACTTCATTTGGAAATTAAATTTTGAATTAATTTAATGTTTTCACTTACTGAATTAAAAAAAATAGCAAACTCAATTTTCTTTCCCAATGTGTTAATGAAAATGGCAGAACTTTAAAAATATGGTATTTTGGTCTGTCAATTTATTGTGATTAGGTTTAGATTCACTTCTAATCCTCCCAAAGATGTGCCTGTTTATTTTGCTTAGGCTAGCATTAATTTCATAGTAACTAAGAAAATATTGCTTAAGGAGCCAGTGTGAGATTTGATATTTGCTGGACCTAATCATTTGAAAAATATTTACTGACAAACTATCATGTATAAAGCAGTTTTTTTGTTTTTAAGATTTTATTTATTTATTTGACAGAGAGAGACACAGCGAGAGAGGGAACACAAGCAGGGGGAGTGGGAGAGGGAGAAGCAGGCTTCCCGTGGAGCAGGGAGCCTGATGTGGGGCCTGATCCCAGGACTCTGGGATCATGACCTGAGCCGAAGGCAGACGCTTAATGACTGAGCCACCCAGGCGCCGCTATGTATAAAGCAGTTTGCCAGCAACCAGAAAAATATAAAACCAATTGCGTCTCTATACTTTCCTGTCTGCATTCACTGCATGGGTAGACACATCTTAGTTCTACCTTTTGACCTCTCCACAATATTTGACAAGGCCTGTCACACTGTTTTCTTAAAAACCTTTGTGACATTAATTTTCCTTTAACAACTTCTAGTCTAGCCAGGGAAACTAGCTACAAATACACGAAAAGTTACATAAAGCATAGGGTCTAAAGAGTAGTTCAACACCACAGGAGCACCTGGGTGGCTCAGTTGGTTGGGCAACTGCCTTCGGCTCAGGTCATAATCCTGGAGTCCTGGGATCGAGTCCCGTATCGGGCTCCCTGCTCAGCAGGGAGTCTACTTCTCCCTCTGACCCTCCCCTGTCTCGTGTTCTCTCTCTCTCTCTCATTATCTCTCTTTCAAATAAATAAATAAAATCTTTAAAAAAAAAAAAGAGTAGTTCAACACCACAATATTAAAGATGTCCAAAGGTTATGATGAACTATTGCCAAATGAGTAATACTACCTTGAGAGTTAGCGTGTAATAAACACTATGTGCCAGGCATAGTTCTAAGTGTTTTACTTGCTATAACCCATTTAATCCTCACAACAATCCTATGAAGTCGGGCTGTTATTACCACTTTATGGGTAAAGAAATTAGGGCTCAGAGGGATTGCTCAAGATTATACAGGTATTAAGGAATGAAGCTGGGATTTTAAGCCAGAAAATTTGTCTTCATGATTTCTGCTCATAATCACTCTGCTATCTTGTAAAGATAGTAATGACTTTAGGATGCCTAAGAGGGAAATTTCATTATGGGCTGCTTTGTCAAGGAAGGCATCAAGAAGGAAGAAGGATTTTGACTGAATTTTAAAGGTACAGAGAGTTTGGATTGACAAGGAGAAAGGGGGTAGACCCTATGAGAATTGGAATGTATTTTGGAGATAGTGAATGTAACAGGCTGAGTGGAGCAGAGATTTAGAAAGATGTGTGTTCTAGTTCCGGGCTCACATATTAAAGTATCTGCTATAAAGCATGTTCAGAAGTGGCAAAAGGTGCTCTCTGACATCAGTGTTAGGTAAGACAAATAGATATATTTATGAATAGTATGGCTTATGATATAATAAGTAAAATCAGGGAGGCATCGTCTGAAGAATGAATAGACGAGGGGAAGTGCATTTCAGGGATCCAGAAAAGCATCTGCAAAGGCAGGGAGGTATGCACAATAATGTGTGTTTGGGGAACTACACAAGTTCCATGTTGTTAGGATGTGAAGTGAGAGTGCAGGACTGGCGAGAGGATGGGGGCTGGGAACCACATGGAAGAGGGCCTGGTGATCATCCTAAAACTCTGGGACTTCAAGTGATATGTGATGGGGAGTGATTGTAGTGTTTCTAAAACAGGAAGGATGCTGGATTTGTGTTTTAGAGAGGACTCATTGGTGGCCGCGTGGAGGATGAATTTCAGGAGAGCAAAACAGAGGCAAGATTAGTTGGGAAGAAGGCAGAAGGCAGGGAAGAATTAGGGGAGGGCCTTGAATGCCAAATTAATTTATTCAACTACTCTGTGTTAGGCACAACATTTGGCACTGTGAGCTATATTTTCTTAGGTTAATTCTCATAACAGCCCCGTAGATTGGTAGGTAATATTATAACTATTTTCCAAATAAGGAAGCCAAGTCTCAGAGACATTAAGTAGTTCTGCCAGAGGTTGCATAGCCAGAAGTGGCTTTTGTGTATTGCAGGGATCAGTGCAAGGACCAGTCAGTTTGGGGAAGGACATTATATCCATAATAAACAGGCAGGTAGAGGTCGAGGGGCAGATGGTAAATTCCTCTCCATCTAGCATAGTTCATTCCAACCTATTTTGAATATTTGACCTCTGTATATCTCTGCAATATTAAGAAAAGTGGCTTTTTACAAAACCAGCTAGTCCTTCTCTACAATTAAATTTCATTTTTTTCCCTTTTTTACTTGTCATATGTTATTTGCCCTTAGTGCATGGTTGAGTGACAATTTGCATGCTTGGCTTTTCCATAAAGCCGTTATTTCCTTGGCTTTAAAGTGAGTAGTGCTTCTTAAACTCTTAATCTCAGAGTCATGAGTTCAAGCCCAGCCTGGAACCTACTTAAAAAAAAATTAAAACCCAAAACTTCTGGTTCAGTAACTGGGTTAAAAAAGTCTAAACTTCCCTCTGAAACCGATGATACATTATATGTTAATTAATTTAATTTACATTAAAAATGGAAAAATAAAAAATAAAATATTAAAAAAGTCTAAACTTCTCAAACTATATTAGCAAAAATTCTTAATACAAGTCGATACATCTAGTGAAAAAGAAGACTTCCATTTCCACCAGTTCTGTGGCTTTCGAAGGTGCCAGGAAAAGAATGCATTTAATAACTGAGAAGCATATCAGGAATAGAAAATAAGCAAAATGTATAAGGCTGTTTTAATTTTATTGCCATGATTTATCCAGATGCTGTATCTTATGCATTTTCAGGATTTGGAATATCGTCTAGATCCAAAGACGAAGGAGCTGCCTCACTTGAGAAACCCTGACATACTTGTGGGTGAAAATGACCTCACAGCCCTCAGCTATCTTCATGAGCCTGCTGTGCTCCACAATCTCAGAGTCCGCTTTATTGACTCCAAACTTATTTATACATATTGTGGTAAGTGTGCCTTGCTGTCTGAGTGGACCATGAACTCTGTCCTCTAATGGACATAGCCACGGAATTATTGTGCCCGGGGAAAGAAGGCTGCAGTTGGATTTTCTCCTAGAGAGACAATCACTAAAGAGTTATCAGAAAAAATTTACCATGTTCATTAGCTAGTTGCATTTTGTGCTGAATAAGCTCTTTTGTGAACTTACATAATTTTGCTCAGAAAGAAAACAAACAAAACCCAACTGGGCCCATCTTTTAGAGTTTCTTCCTCCCAGAGAAGTCATTTGACAAATTCAGTGACAGTTTGCCAGTTACTTTCATCTCGTACAACTCGTACAAGAACTGCTACCTAAAGAGTAGATGTACAAAGATTTATCTTTGGTGCAGGTTCAGGAAGTTTAGTGTTCTCTTGTTCTCAGTGCAGGACTGACGACTCACAGTAACTGTTCTTGCTTGATGTACTGGCCTGGACACATGCTTGTTGCGGTATTAGCTGCCAGTGACCCAGCTCGGGATTCTTTTTCTTTCCCTTAGAAATTAAGCACCATGTGCTTTTGGGTTTTTTCCCCTTTTCCTTCTTTTGTCTCTCTCTCTCTTTTTTTTCTTAACCTTATTTTCTCCCTTGTCCCTGGCTCTTTCCTCTACTGACTTATCTTTCTTTCCCTGATTACTCTCCTCTGAGCTCAGGTCTGGGATTTCATTCATTTTCTTCTAAGTCTGTTTGCTTGGGTGACCAACTCAGCACTCACCATTTCTTCCTTACTCCCCTGCTTTGGACAGAGACAGCTATCTTCTCTTCTTAAAGGAATTTGTACCTCTTGTATCCTTGATACTAACTCTTTTTCTTCCTTGTCTATGAACCACATATTTCTGTTTCTCAATTTTCATTTTCCCACTTATCTTTTTCTTGCACATATGTTACCTTCTTGGTGAAGCCTCCCTTGCCTGCCTTATCTAAATCATAAACCCCTACTCCCCTCCTTAGTTTCCGTCTTTTTTTTTTTTTTAAAGATTTTATTTATTTATTTAACAAAGAGAGACACAGCAAGAGAGGGAACACAAGCAGGGGGAGGGGCAGAGGGAGAAGCAGGCTTCTCACCGAGCAGGGAGCCCGATGCGGGGCTCGATCCCAGGACCCTGGGATCATGACCTGAGCCAAAGGCAGACGCTTAATGACTGAGCCACCCAGGCACCCCAGTTTCCGTCTTCTTTCTCTGTTTAATTTTTCTCCTTTTTCTTTCTAGTATCTAACCTGTGATATTTATTTTTTCTTATCTTGTTAATTGTCTAAATTTCCCACTAGAATATAATGGCTATGAGAATAAAGATTTGTCTTTTTTTGTTTACTGTTATAAACCGAGCACTCAGCAAAGATTGAGGCATACTTGAAGCTGAATTAATATTTGTTGAATGAAGGAGTTCATTAAGTTAATATACACCTACTATAAAATTTAAGGAAATACAAAGAAAAATATAAAAAAGGAAAAGTAATTACATGTAATTCACTACTGAAAAATAACCAGTATTATGTTGACATATCCTATATGTGTGTGTATGTGAGAAAGTATAAATAGATACGAAATTGGAATTAGTCTGTATATAATTTTGTGTCATCTTTTCCTATGGCATTTAATATTCTTTAAAAACATAATTTGTGGTGGTAGTATAATAGTCTGTCATATAGATGTAACAAACTATTTGGTTACTCTTCCTTTATGATATATTTTGTTTGATTCTACTTTTCACTCTTGTGAATAATATTATGACAAACATCTTTATGAAAAAAACCTTTGCTTGAATGTCTGGTTATTTCATTTGGATAAATTTCTAGAAGTGAATTTTTTATTTAAATATTATGAAAATATTTAAAGTTCTTTTAACATTGCCATAGTTTTTATTTTTAATAGCTTAGGCCAGTTTTTAAATGGTGTTTTAGTTAGGTCTAGGTGTAATAGGCTCAGAGACAAAGGCTGTGATATATTTTGATCTTTAACAATTTGTTAGTTCAAGATTAATGGAAATCGAAATTTGTGTTAACTCTGATTCTCACTTCACCAAGTTTGATATGTCCATTAGTATATCATTAATTTCTTCTTTTATTTTTTTTACCCCTCCCCCAGGTATAGTCCTAGTAGCTATAAATCCTTATGAACAGCTGCCTATTTATGGAGAAGATATTATTAATGCATATAGTGGTCAGAATATGGGTGATATGGATCCACATATCTTTGCAGTAGCTGAAGAAGCTTACAAGCAAATGGCCAGGTTGGTGAAAGCTCTATTTATTTTTTCATGACTCTTACTAGTTGTGATCATTTCTTTTTTGCTGAGTCACAGATATTTTAAAACACAGTGAAGAGCAACTGGTAAATTATTATTAAATAAACAGCCTTTACTATTTCAGATGGCCTGCATTATTATTAAAATAACCTCATATTTATAAAAGGACATATAGTTTTTAAAAACTGCCTTTGGAATCTCCTCCCGATCCTGTGACTGTGCAAGGAGAGATGTTATGTTTACAGATGAGAGGATCAAGGGTTGGTGGTTTTAAGTGATGCGCCCACTGTCCTTCAGCTAATGAATGACAGACTAGAAATAAAAGGCCTAAGAGCAAGAAGAATCTGTCTGTATCTTAGAGAATTAAATATCAAGGAAATTGTGAATTTAATGTTACTCTTATGTTCTAGAGACCAGTGATCCTGAACAGCATCAGTAAAATGTCTTTGATATTAACCATGGAAGCCTAACATTTTAAGAGTAGAAAACCAGAGAAAAAAAGCTACTTTCAAGACTAGATTACACTCTTAATAATGTAGTATAATGTAAATCAAAACTATGGATGTATAGAATAGTATACATTTAACTCATTTCTCCAGTCTTCAGGTAAGAACCAGCATATTATAAATACGATGTGGGAATCCCTCAAACAATTTATGAAGTGGAAAGAAAATACTGCAGAGGTTTTATTTTCTCCTTTCCAACCAGGGAGAGTGTTTGTACATAATTGGGCCAGCATGTGACAGAAATTTAGAATTATTTTATTGACAGAATTCATAGAAGTCATTATGCCCTTTTATTAATAAAATATTACTTCTAATGATCATTAACAATTATTAAGTACTCTCTCTGTGCAAGGCACTGTTTAATTGCCTTCCATTTTGTTAAGTAATTTTATCCTCACAGCAACCTTCTGAGGTTGGTATTATTATTATTATTTTTTTTTATTTGTTTGTTTGTTTTAAAGATTTTATTTTTAAGTAATCTCTACATCCAATTTGGGGCTCCAACTCACAACCCTGAGATCAAGAGTAGCACTCTCCACCAACTGAGCCAGTCAGGCAGAGGTTGGTATTATTATTAATCTTCATTTTACAAATGAGACAACTTAAGCACTGAGAAGTTATTTAACTTTCCTAAGGCCACATAACTAGGAAGATTAGCTTTCAAATTTCATTAGTCTAACACTATGAAATATTATATTAAATATAAAATGACTAAATATAGTTATGTACTGCATTACATGCTGTATTATAGCAGATTCTGTTATAAAATGGGAATGAGTGTCAAAAGTGTAAGAAAGGTTACTTTTTTTAAGGATTTATTTATTTGAGAGAGAGAGTGCACACGTGAGTGACGGGGAGGGGCAGAGGGAGAGAATCTTGAAGCAGAACCTCCGCTGAGCGTGGAGCTCCATAGGGAGGGGAATTGGGGGGGGGGGGTGCTGAGTCCCACAACCCATGAGATCATGACCTGAGCCAAACCTAGAGTTGGCCGCTCAACTGACTGAGCCACCCTGATGCCCCAGAAATATTACTTTTTTAAGCTTTTAAATTCCATCTATCAGTATAATTTTTTCCCTAAAATGAGAAAAGCCCAATATTTGACTTGTATAGTACTGGAGCATTCGATACAATGTTAGCACCACACAAGTACAGCCAGAGAACTACCAGGCAGAGAGGGAATTGTGTGGCGTGTCAGGACCTAAAAACTGTCTCTGAAAAATGTTATACTGCTCCTAGAGAATGATATGACTTCTTTGAAAATACTAATCTTAAATATGAAAGTTTGGTTCTTAGCATTTTTTGTGACAGGAAATCCAAGAAGAGTGTTAGATTTATATCACTGTTTCTGGCTTTTCAGCCCTGGATTTACTCTGGTTTCCTAACATCCCCCTGCCCCCCATTATTCCCCTGTGACTCAGTCAATGTGATTACTGCAGGGTCGCTTGTTTCTTTTCCCTCCTCTCAGTTTTGTTTTTTAGGCAGTTTTAAAATACACTTCAATCAGTTATGGTAAGTTCACCATTTATATGAGTAAATCTGTACACATAAAATGTGCTGCAATAGCTAAATAGACCATGTCTCTTAGGCATAAGGTTGGAGATAGATATTGCAGGATCCTTTCTTATCATCTTTTCCTTGCCGAGTGGAGATGTGCCGTATTTACCAGATGTGAAACCTAGAGTTTCACATTGCTGGTACTCCTAGAGGCCCCTTACATCTTCAGGGAATATATAGTCACTTGTTCAGTAGACCTTTACTGCACACCATCCACACACTGTCCTGGGCATGGGGGACACTAACAGCAAACAAGTGTGACAAAATAGACAAAAATTCTTACCCTCATGAAGTGAGGCATGATAAACAGAAGTAAATAAGATACACAGTTTGTCACATATTAATAAGTGCTATCCTGGAAAATAAAGTTAGAAAAGTAAATAAGGAATGCTAGGTGGGCCAGAGGGCATATGTACTAGGCTAAGGGAAAGCCTCATTGTAAAGCTGCCTCCCCCCACCCTTTTTTCCAAACTTCAAAAAAAAAAAAAAATCTTAAACTTACAAAAAGGTTGGAAAAGTAGTACACAGAGGTACCATACACCCTACATCCAGTTTCCCCAAATGTTAACATGTTACATAGCCATAGTAAATAATTGAAACCAGGAAATTCACATTGATACAATACTAGTAAGTAATCTAAAAATCTTGTTCACATTCATCATTTCCCCTCTGATGTCCTTTTTCTGGTCTAGGATCCAATCTAGAATCATACATTGCGTTTAGTTCTGTCTCCTTAGGCTCCTTCAATCTAGGACCATCCATTAATCCTCTTTTCATGGCTTTGACACTTTGGAAGAATATTAGCCAGCTATCTTGTAGGCCTTGAGGGCACAGCAGTAGAAAAATTAGGCAAAACAGACTGCAAAAATCCTTCCCCTCCTGAAAGTTTAAGGTTTTCTCCTAATTAGATTGAGGCTAGCAGTGCACTTGGGGCAGGAACCTCACAGAAGTATCGTGCCCTTCATCATATAGAGGAAACACAAGATTCCAGTTACTGGTGATGTTAAGTTTGATCACTTGGTTATGGCGGTATCTACCAGATTTCTCTACTATAATTACTATTTTAAACTTTGAAATTAGTCAGTATATTATGGGAAAATACTTTGAGATTGTGCAAATATCCTGTTTCTCATCATACTTTCACTTTACTAATTTTAACATCCATTGATGATTCTTGCCTGCAACAGTTTATTATGTAGTGTTTGTCAAATGGTCATTTGCTATTTCCATCATTCCTTCTCCAGGTATGAATAGAAATTCTACTCTTAAGGAGGAGCTATTCCTTTCCCCCCATTTATTTAGTGTTTACTTAGTTTTTATTTGTATCAATATGGACTCATGGGTATTTATTTTATTCTGTGGATTATTCTCCATTACTATCATTATTTATTTTTTTCAAACTCTCTCAGAGTTGGCCCTTGGGAGCCCTTTCAAGTGTCCTTTCAACAGTCCTCCATTGTTTTTTGATCATTTCCTTACTTTCTAGCACCATCTGGCTTATTTTCTAATTTCCTTGCCCATTCTGGAATTAGCCATTTCTTCAAGGAGCCCTGGTTCCTTTTTGGGGGGAATGTATACTTAGAAACCAAGATCTGTCTGCTAGGCGTGCTCACTACGACTGGGGCGTCATCTCTAAGCCCAGTACACAGGGCTAGGAAATACATGTTTCCCCATAGCCTCACCAACAGAATGTGTTGTCATACTTTCAAAATTTCACCACACTGACAGGTGAGAAATGGTATCCCGGTTTTGTTTTGATTTGCCTTTCTCTAAATATGAGACAGTTGCATACACACAAATGTCTTTCCATACACACACACAGACACACACACACACACACACACATCTATGTCTATTTTAATGTGTATCTCTATATATTTTAAAAAAACATGAGTTCATATCTATACATCCAATTCCAATTCAACACCACAGATTTAATTTTTGTTTTCTCTTTTTCCTTCTTTTACTTCTTTCTTTGGTCTTGAGAAACTTGGCTCTTATTATCCACAATATATTTACTTCTTTGCTGAATCCTAGAATACTCAAAAAGTAGTTTAAGAAATATTAACCCGCAACCCTGTGAAAAGCAGATTTACCACTCAAGTACAATATTTGTGTCCAATTCATTTTCTCTATAGCCTCATAGAATATAGTTAAAGTTCTGATTTCCAAAGTTACTTAGGTTAGTTCTTGTCTTACCCACTTTATTAGTTTATTCAACCACTTTCCCATATATGGTCCTTCAGATTGTTTTCATCATTCTGCAGTTATAAACAATGCTGTAATGAATAACTTTGTATATATGTATTTCTGTATTTTAAGAAATGTAGCTTCAGATAAGTTGCTAAAAGTGGCATTGCTAGGTCAAAAGGTAGGTGTAAATGTAGTTTTGTAGGTATTGCAATATTCCTTCTAGAAGAGTTGTACTGGTTTGTATTTCTGCCAAAAATGTTCAAGAGTCCTTGCTTCCCCATAGCCTCATCAACAAAAAAATGTGTAGTCTTTCTTTTTAGTTTTTCACTATCCAATGATATCTCAATGTTGTTTTCATTTGTATTTCTTTAAATATGAGTGAGTTTGAACATCTTTTCATGTCTTTTAGAGCCATTTTATTAATGCGTTAGTTTCTTTGTTTATGTGGTAAACTGTCCGCTCATGTCTGTTTCAATTTTTCTATTGTGTTTTCAGTCCTTTGAACCTCAATTTTAAGAGTTTTTTTAATTTATATTTTTTAAGTTTCTTTCTTTTTTTTTTTTTTTAAAGATTTTATTTATTTCACAGAGAGAGACACAGCGAGAGAGGGAACACAAGCAGGGGGAGGGGGAGAGGGAGAAGCAGGCTTCCTGCCGAGCAGGGAGCCCGATGCGGGGCTCGATCCCAGGACCCTGGGATCATGACCTAAGCTGAAGGCAGACGCTTGACGAC